GAAACGGCGGTACTAATTTGCGAGTCCGTGAAAGCTCTACAACTCCTTGATTGGGGTCGGTGCTACCCAATCCTGTACGGCTGCGATCTTCTTCGGGTCGGTCCTAACGCCACTAGCGGATACGACGTGTCCTAGGAACTCGACTTGGGGAGAAAGAACTCGCACTTCGACTGCTTCGCGTACAGCTTCTCCCTCCGCAAGACCTCAAAGACCCTCTGCAAGTGCTGCACGTGCTCCTCTTTCGACTTGGAAAAGATGAGTATGTCGTCTAGGTAAACGACAACGAACGAACCTAGGAACTCGGAGAGGACGGTGTTCATAAGCGTCTGGAACGTCGCTGGGGCGTTGGTCAGTCCGAACGGTAGAACCCTAAACTCGTACAACCCCTGCTTCGTACGAAACGCCGTCTTGTGCTGGTCCTCTGGAACTACGCGAATCTGGTGGTAACCCGAACGAAGGTCGATCTTGGAAAATACTCTAGCGCCCTGCACTGCATCTAGAAGATCCTCTACTCTCGGCACCGGGAATCGATTCTTGACGGTGGCGGCGTTCAGTGCGCGGTAATCTATGCACATCCGTAACCCTCCGTCTTTCTTAGGCGCGAAAAGGATCGGTGCGGCCCAAGGCGATCTAGATGGCTGTATGAACCCCTGTGCGAGAAAGTGCCTAACCTGCTGCGTCATCTCCTCTGTCTCTGCTGGACTCAACCTCCACTGCGGCTTCGCTACTGGCCTGCTCCCCGGCTCCAACTCTATTCGATGGTCGACTGCTCGGCTAGGAGGTAACCCTGGGGCAACTCGTCGGGGAAGACATCTGCAGACTCCGCTAACAGTGCACTCACCTCAGCAGGAAGAGTCGCCTTCTCACCCACTGCTGCACTCCCTCCTTTCCCCTCCTCAGCTTCCACCTCCTCAAGGAAAACCGCAAAGATCCGTGCTGCACGCTTCACCAGCTGCCGCACACGAACAGCATTGATGATAGCTGTGGATGATGTGGCCCCATCGCTCCACTGTGGCAGCTCCCGGAACTCGCCATCTACCTTGACGCTGCAGCTTCCCTGAACCCTATCGGACTGAGTCGAAACCGTCCGCAACCAATCTCTACCGAAGATGAAATCGTATCCGTCCAGCGTCGCAGAGTCGAAGTCACGCCTAACTGTGATCGGTCCTAGCACTACGCGCAACTTGCGAATGACTGGTCCTATGTGGAGAGGTGTCCCATCTACCATACGTGCGTCCTTGAAGTTGACTAAAGTGTCCGCTTCGAGATGGAGACGGCTAACTAATTAAGACAAAACGAACGAGTGGCTAGCTCCGCTATCGACGAGAATCTTAACAGGAACTCCGCGAAGCTTCCCTAGAAGCACGACTGGTCGGTCAACAGTGTCTACCTCGTTCTCCGTAGATGACTGCTGCGAGGCCGTCTCCTCTACGTTGGTAGACTTGGCGGGTACGGAAGCCTCCACACCAGCTAGCGACCCGCTATCTACTGGCGGTTTCCGTTTCCCTGCTGCCGCTCCTTGAACTGTGGGCAGTCCCGCTTCATGTGTCCCGGCTTTTTGCAGTAGTGACAGTTCCCCCTAAATCCGTTGCGCTGTGAGCCGTCACTGTTAACTGCACCAATCTCCATGGGCGATGGTCCGTCCCTCGATCGAGCATCGTTGATCGGTCTGTTGTATCCCCTATAACGATCGTCACGACCCCGTCGGCTTCGTACTGCGTCGACGCGTTCTGCTGCTGCGACAACTGACTCGAAGGTGGACAACCCGTGAATCACAACAATCTCTGCTATGTCCGGCTTCAACCCTTCGAGGTAGCGATCGCGCATCTCTGCTTCCGTGATGTCGTCTATCTCATTGTAGATGCTCAATAACCGCCGTGTGTACTCCTGGACGTTTCCTATCTGTCGGAAATGACGCAGACGCTTCCTAGCAGCTTCGGAGGCGTTCACCAAATCGAACCTACTTTTCAGCGCCGCTTCAAATCCTTCCCATGTCGTCGGAACCGTGGTAACACCCAAAGCTAGACTCCCTAAGCTCGAAGTTGCAGCTGCATGCCCCACGCCCTGTTGATGCCCGTCTAACTGAGCCCTCCGTACAGCAGTCTGCGTAAGTTGGCGCCACCACTCCAAGGTCGGGCCCCTCAGCAGCGTTACGGCGTACTCGATCCGCTGCTGCGCGTCCGCCTCTTGCACCCCGCTCGCGGCGAAGTAATTGTTGAGCATGAAGAGCCACGTTCGCACGTTCGCGTCGCGTTGACTTGGGTCGAACGACTCGGGCTTCTGCGGCTTGAGTGCACTTCGACGTTCCGGCAGCACTTCCGCGCCAGTCGACATGATGGGTGCAGGAGTTGGTGCGGCAAGGCCATGGGGGTTAGAAGCCAAATTGCGAAGCTGTTGCATTTCGGCTCGTACCTGACGATTTTCCAACGTCAATTCTTCGAGTTGACGCATGAGCTCGGCAAGCGTGTTGCCCATGTCGTGGGGGAGAGCGTTCATGGTCTCGTCCATGTTGGCTCGACGACTCCAAGTCTGCAAGTCGGCACCGCGGGACGATGACGTCGTAGTCTCGTCGTCGACGGCCACTCGTTGGAAGTCACTCCCCGCGAAGGCTCTTTATACCAAGTGTTAGGCCCGCTGGTCTAAGTCCACTAAAGAATTAGCGGATTCGACTAAGTCGAGGATGAAGCGCGGCGGAAGACTTTGGCGAAAGAACTACTAGCGAAATAGGCGAAGGAATAACTGAGTAATTGAAGAAGAGTTGAATGAGAATTGGTTGATATCAGGGAATATTAGCAAGGTTTATATAGCATGCAAGAAGGAAGGTTGGAAAGTAGAATGTGGGACTAGGAATTGGAAGGCAAACAAAGTAGAGTGCCACGTGGCACTAGGAAATCTAAGAAGATAGGGATAAGGGTGAGCTGGAAAGTACTGTTCAAAGTGAACAGTAAATCCTCCCTTAACACAGCGGTGTTATTACATGCGCAAATCTCAAATACAGAAAACTAATCTTACTACATTGGGAGAAATATCAAGCACGTTCTCCAGAGCATCCAATGAAATCGCCTACTGGTGTAGGTTGGTAACAGCCCCAGAAGCATATGTTGTGAGTGAAAACTCACCACAAAAATGGCCAACCAACCAGATCTGGATCTGGATCTGACTAAGCAGTCTCCTACCGAGCTTCGCCAACCCCTCTGGGAAAGCTCAACGTCAACTTCCCTACGCCACCCGGACCTGCACATGTCAAGCCAACGCTCAACTGAGCTTGCTCCCCTCGATCGACATTGCATTGGCTCGAGGTAAGTTCGTCTCCTGTTTTTTTCCTTCGGTCGTTTGGTTGGCGTCTCTGGTTGCTCCCCAACCTCCTGCTTATGTCAGGTCATTTTTTGCTCCGATCTGCCCTCCGCGTCCTGAGGCCGCCCGCGCACCTCTACCCCGCCGCTCGCCCACGTCTTCTCCCCTTGCGAAGCCCGATTCGATTTTCTGCTCCGCTCCCTTCTCGACCCTTCGATCCCTGCGCCTCCGACACTCCTACACGTCAGCTTATCCCTCGTCCCGCTTCCTTTCTGGTTCGTGCTCCTTGCAAGTTTTCAATTTGCCCTCGCATCCGGGCCCCTCCACGCCTCTGACACCACCTGTCGCATTTTTTTTCCCCTCCAGTGCTCCACGTCACCACTCCTTCTTTAGGTTTCCAGGTCATCCGGAACCCAATGCTATCGCTTCCTTTTGTTGTGTTTTGCTTTTTCACTTCCACCCCATCCCTAACCCGATTGTTGGTCGTGGATCCACCCGTCACTCGCCCAGCCTTCAGCTCCCGCCTTGCTCTGGTTGCTCTACCTCCCTGAAGCAGTGGACATTGGTGCTGCGCAGACGTTCCCCCTTTTGTAACATCCATCTCCTCCCCTACCCTCGTCGCTCCCCCACTCTACCAACAACTGCTCCCTTCGCCACCTCTTTAGCTTCACGTTCGAGAAACTTCTACCTAGTGGACTCAGGCTGCCGCCTAGGCTCCTGGTCCCTTTTTTTGGGGAAGCTGTGGCCGCTGCATATGCCCCCTCGCCACTACGTATGGCTCGCGCTCGCCCAATCGCGCCTGGTCCTCATTTCTAACCTCTAGAAGCTACGTTGCTGCTCCCGCTCCCCCTTTCCTCCCACGCTTCGCACGTTTCAACCTACATACAAAGTGCCATCTGCGATCGCTCGCTGTTCCTCGCTCTTCCCTCCCATATTCCTGACGTTTCAGCCCAGATCCGATCTGCCATCTGTTTCTCTTTGCGCTTCCACGCCTTTCCCTTGCTAAATGGGTATGCCTTTGTCTCCTTCCGAACCGCCATCTACACTTCACTCTCTCCCAGTCTCCCCTCCCACATTGCAGGCGTTTCATCCCAGATCCAAACCACCATGAGCTTCCCCTCGCTCTTCTCCGCTCTTCCCTCTCACATTTCGTAATTCTCAGCCCAGATCCGTGCCGCCAAATTTTATTTCTCGCTCTTCCCCGCTCTTCCCTCCCTCATTCCGGAGCTTCCAGCCCAGATCCGCACCGTCAATTGTCTTTCCTCGCTCCTCCTCGCTCTCCCATCCCACATTTCAGGCGCTTTGGTCCAAATCCGAACCGCCAAGAGTTCTCCCTCGCTTTTCCCCGCTCTTCCCTTCCACCTGTAGGGCTTTTTAGCCCAGACCGCACCGCCAAGTGTCTCTCCTAACTCTTCCCCACCTCTCACTCCCATCGTTCAGGCGTTTTAGCCCAGATCCGAACCGCCCAGAGCCTCTCCTCATTCCTCCCCACTCTTCCCTCCCAATCTTTCTGTCCTTTCAGGCCAGATCCGCACCGCCCTACGCTCCCCTCCGCCCTCCCCCTCTCCGCCCCTTCACCCCACCCCATACGCCCCCATCACTGCCGAGACGCCCCTCTCCAGAAGTGGGAAGATAAAGATGCACGTCTCCCTGGATGTTCTCATCATCTGTCCAACTTTATTCCCGTTTCCCTCCAGCCCTCCCTCATGGCCGCCCAGAACCATAAACCTGACGACGAGATGGCTCTCGTCGACGAGGAGCTCCAGCTCGACGGCGAGGAGCTCCATTTTGACGAGCTTCCTGCCATCCCGTTCGCTCCCCCCCACGCAGCCGACGAGCCCCCGGCGGCCAAGAAGGTCTGCGTCGAAGCACCTCCGGCACCGGCCAGCAGTGCTATGGCGGCTTTGGCTTCCTCCCGGCCCGTCAATACCTCGGGCGCCTCCTCGGGCGCCCCTCCCCCTGCAACTGCTGCTCCTGCTCCGCCCCCTGCCTTGCGCAGGACCGCCACCCCCCCCTCTCGTCTTGGCGCCGCCCTTGGAGCTGGCACCATCCTGTCTGCCCATGCTTCTGGTCCCGCGCCCACCCGCATCCTTCGCCGTCCGAGGACCGGCCCAGTCATGCCGTGCCGCCGCCTCGCAGTGGTCTCGCTTCTTATGCCCGAAACTCGCGCGGACGCTATTTGCGCAGATCTCATCGCTCGCATCACCGCCATGCTGAAGCTGCATTTCTTCCGCTGCGGCTCGGTTCCGGAGTTTGAGGTCGCCACCAGCGAGGCGCTCCGGGTTCCGCGCCGTTCCTACGCTCGGCTCTGCTTTTCGTGGCCTACCGAGGAAGAGGCCGAGGATTTTAAGCGCCTCTTCCCCCGCTCTATCCCCCTTAATGCCTCCCGCTCTGTGCTCCTTAAGGTCTTCGAAGACCGCAACCCTGGCTTTACGGTTGCCAAAGCCGGGAGCGCCGCCACACTGTCGCTCCGCAACATCCCCCCCGGGAATACCTCGGAGGATGTCTGCGATTTTTTGCTGCAAGGTGCGGATCCGGCAGAGCCTGCTTGGCTCGCGGACCTGCAGTTCTTTCATCGCACCACCGACCCATACGAGGAGGTTTTCCTCCCTGTCTTTACCGGCATCCCCCTCCCCCCCCCGGATGACTCGACCTTCTCCCGCATCCCTGCTGTCATCCCGTTTGCGGATGACTCTCCTTCTGCCCTCCTCAACATCTCCACCCACGTGTGTGCTTTTTGTGGGAACAACCACTGCGACTCTGACCACGAGACCTTCGCCTTCAAGCGCAAGCAGCGCCTGAACAACAAGGTTCATATTTCTATTGCCCAGCTGCAGCAGACTAATGGTACGATCACCCCCCCTTTTCCCCTTGCTCAAAACCCCCCAATAATGCTATGCAGCTGCCCTTATTTCACCCGCCCCTTTACCTCTAATTTTGCAACCGAACCCCTCTCCTGGTCCCTCTATCTTGTGTTGACTCCATCACGCTCAGTTTCGCCTTGGCATGCTCCCGTTTTGCTCTTGAACCAATCCTCCCCCCACTCCCCCGTCTCTCTGGTCTACTCACCCCTTGACATTTGCTGGCTGTTTCTCTTCGTTTTACATCAACCAGACTCTGTGCTCCCGGCCCCCTGGCCCGCCCCCCTACCCGACCCCACCTGCCCCTCCCTTCTGCTACATCTCCCCCCATCTGCCCCCACGCCTTGCTAGTGTGGATGCACTCTGTTTCACTTTCCCCTCTCCCTTGCACTCGTCTCCCTGCTTTTCTCCCACCTTGCTCGCTCCCCTCTCCTACTGCTCCTCTCAGCCCTTCCCCCAGGCCAAATCCTCGGGGCACGTCCTGCTCTCGATGCTTTCCACAAGGACCCTGGTCTCCTCTACATCGGACTCGACACCGAAGTTGAGCCCTGGACCTGCGTCCTCTGCATCTTTGCTTGTGACCCTGCCCTCGACTCCGCCATGGCGCACATGGCCTCCGAGGCTCATACCTCCAATTTGCGCGCAGCTGCCAAGGGCCCTGCTGCAAAGGAAAAGTATAGCAACTGGAGGGCCCTTACCTTCCTGGCCACCCCCCAGATCACGGCATTCCTCTCCCAGTGATTCCAAACCGCCTGATGCTCAATCATGCCATAGAAATGTATCTGCTATGTACTTTCGTGATTATCTATTATATGTGCCAGGTGCATTCAATCACGTGTGCCGCCTTACCCGTACTCGTTTTAGTGATCTGCTCGATATGAAAACATGCGTACAGTGGCTGCAATCCTTCCTGCCCCAATCATTGAGCAGTTTTACAAGCACAAGCATCTTCTTTCCATCGTGTCTTAAGGCCCGTGGATGCGTGTACCTTGGTGCATGTCGGGCTTCATCTCCGTTACTATGATTGCTCAGTTGAAAATACTGTGCCTAAATATCAATGGTCTAAACGCTCCGTATAAAATGAATGCGCTTAAGAATTGGATCTCAACTCAAGGCAACAAACCCGACATCCTTGTCTTGATCGGCACATGCCTCATCCTAAATCTCTCAAAACTATCCCTCCGCTTTCGGCCACACGCTTCTGCCCATGCGATTGCTGTCAGAATGTTATTCTCTAGCCTGTAGTGGGGTGCTCTATAGCGAGTACAACCCATCTAGGGTTTGCTATATGTATCCTCATTGCTGCTAGTGAAACCCCTCTTTTGCCTAAACTTTCTCTTGCCTAGCTAGGGTTCTCCTAGCTATGGCTCCTCATCGTGCCTACTATTCTAACATGGTATCAGAGCGTTCACGCTCCTGGCCTGTGGGCCCCACTGCTGCTTCCGCTGCCCTACTCTGTGTCGCGCGCCCCGTGGCGCGCGACCTTCAAATTTTCATCCCGCCGCGCGCGCTCGGCGGTTTTCTACCGTGGGGAGCCCGCGCGCGCCCCGCCCGTCTGTCGCGACGCCCTGGGGAGCCCGCGAGCGCCCCGCCCGTCCGTCGCGACGCCCTGGGGAGCCCGCGAGCGCCCCGCCCGTCCGTCGCGACGCACTGGGGAGCCCGCGACCGCCCCGCCCGTTCGTCGCGACGTCCTGGGGAGCCCGTGCGCGCCCCGCCAGTTCGTCGCGGCACCCTCGGGAGCCCGCGCGCGCCCCGCCAGGCAGTCGCGGCGCCTTGGGGAGTCGCGCGCGCGTCCCCCCCGCCCGTCCGTCGCGGCGCCCTGGGGAGCAGCGCGCGCCACCCCCCTCCACCCGCCCAGCCCGTCCGTTCTGGCGCTCTGGGGGTCCCGCGCCATCCCCCCTCACCATCCCCCGCGCTCCTGCCCCTATCCCACCCGTTTTAGGGTTTGGGGGTGGGGAGTGTGGGGGTGGCGGTTGTGGGGGTGCCGGTTGTGTGCCCCGTCCCCTACTCCTCCTCCTCCTCCGTCTCCCGCTGCTGCAGCTGCCGCTCAGGGGGGTGGGTGTGTGGGAGCCGAAGGAGTGGTGCTAGGGGGGTGACGTGGGAGTGGAGCTAGGGTTCCAGCAGGGGGTGTGTGAGAGGGGGGTGGGACGGTCGGGGGAGGTTGAGCGGAGGCTGCCGTCTTGTCGTCAGCAGCACCTGTAGTCCGGGGCGCTGTTCCGGTAGCCCAGTCGTAGCCTGCTGCACCAGTCGCCCGTGGGTCCGTTGCTCGTCTGCCGCACTTAGCCGCGGAGCCAGTCACCCCTGTAGTCCGGGGCGCTGTTCCGGTAGCCACTGTGCCAGTCTGACTCATGTTGCCCGTGTGCCTGCAGCTTCAGTCGCTTCTCTCCTCTCCTCCTACAGTCTCGCCTCCTCCTCCTCACTTGCCCTTTGTGAAAGCCTCTAGCTTTGCTTGCACTTGTGAACCTGCTCTGTGCTTGCTCATTGTACTGATTACACCCCACTTTGGCTATGGGGGTGTGTCAGAATGTTATTCTCTAGCCTGTAGTGGGGTGCTCTATAGCGAGTACAACCCATCTAGGGTTTGCTATATGTATCCTCATTGCTGCTAGTGAAACCCCTCTTTTGCCTAAACTTTCTCTTGCCTAGCTAGGGTTCTCCTAGCTATGGCTCCTCATCGTGCCTACTATTCTAACAATTGCTACCTACCCTCCTGGTAATGCCTTGAGGTCTCGTCCCCCCCCCCCCCCCCCCCCCCCCCGGTGGCATCTCTGTCCTCTCTTTTAACAATGCTGTCTCCTTCTTGTCTTCCTCCCCATCTATAGACGGACGACTCCTCTCTGTTGACATCAACTTACTGCACGAACAGATCCGACTAATCGCCATTTATGCCCCCCCCCCCCCACGCCACGACCCGCCGCGTCTAGTGGCGTAGCACCCTCACTCCAGCTCTTGAAGCGCCCTCTACCGCCGCATGTACAGTTCTTGCTGGCGATTTCAACTCGGTTGTCCTCCCCGAGGATCGCGACCGCACTCTGCACGGTCATGAGCAGAGTGAAGCCGCCTTATTCTCGAACCTCCTATCATCTTACTCCCTTCTTGACTCGTTCCGCGCCCTTCACCCCGCCACCACCCTCTTCTCCTATATTGGCTGGCAAAGACTCACTGTACTTCCACCTCCCCCACCTCCGGCCGCTCGTCTGGACCGCATCTACGTGTCTACCTCTTTCCTCTCTCGCCTCCATGCAGCACATTACCTCCTCACCCCTAATCTTGTCTCGGATCACATGTTCGCCCCATTGTGCTCTCTTGGTTTTGATAACCCCATTATGGCCCCCCGGTCGTGGAGGCTCAACGCCTCCCTGTTGCGCCGCCCACACATGACCCGTATCCTAGATATGCAGCTCCTACGTCTCCCCCCCTAGCCGACTCCAAACGACTGGGACCGCTGGAAACAGCAGCTCTCCCTCCGTCTTAAATGCTTCTCTAACCAGGAATGTCGCCGCGTCTTAGGAACCATGGACCACCTACGCCACCTTATTGGTCGCCTCCAAACCCAAGCTGCCTGTTCCGCACTGAGTATGGAAGAAAACGCCCACCGCAGCAAAGCTCAGTTACAACTCATGAAATATGAAGCTTCCAAAAGCGCAGAACTAGCCCTCAAAGCCAAGCTCAAGGTTGAGGGTCAACCCACTTATACTCTGGCTCCACGCCTGTCGTCCCTAACCCCTCCTTCTGGAGACATATCCCTCGCTCCACCCTGCCCGACTCGCTAACCCGTCTCTTGCAATCACCCTTCTCCCTCTTTGAAATCAGGAAAGCTCTTGGACAACTATCGCGGGGTAGAACTCCTGGCCCGGATGGTCTCCCTGGTGAACTCTTCCGATCTTTCACTTCTCGGTTTGCCCCAGCCTTCCACTCCTTGATTGGCTCACAACCCCCCCCCTGCGTTACCTCCATCCATGCTCTCCGGTCGTACTGTTCTTATTCCCAAGAAGGGTGACTCTACACTCGTAGAGAACCTCCGACCCATCACGCTCATGAACTCTGACTATAAGGTTCTTGCCTTATGCCTCGCCAACCGTCTTCAGCGCGTGCTTCCTCACATTATTCACCCATCCCAGACTGCCTTTATTAAACGCCGTAGAATTGGCGATACTATCAACGATACTCTCGACATTATGGATTGGGCTTCGTATTCCCGCACCCCCCTCCTCGCTCTCACTGTCGACTTCCTAAAGCATACGACCTCGTTGACCGAGCTTTTCTCCTGCCCTCTCTTTCCCACCTAGGACTACCCTCACCATTTGTCCACTGGGTGCGCCTCATGCATTCTGGCACCTCCACATGCATTGCCGTCAACAACCTTGCGGGTCCGCTCTTTCCTGTCCACACTGGTGTTCGCCAGGGCTGCCCATTAGCCCCCCTTCTCTTTGTCTGTGTCATTGAGATTTTCCATCGGTACATGTCCCTATACCTTCCAGGTTTTCCCCTATCTCCTGTGACTCGCCGTCTCATGGCCTGCTATGCGGACGATGTGACCATCTTCCTCTCGTCAAACGATGAATTCGGTTCTGCAGTCTCTCACCTCCTGACCTTCGCCTCAGTTTCTGGGGAATCCCCAAACTGGAACAAATGTTCCATTATCCCTTTCAACATCTCCTCGTCGCTACTCACGAGTGCAGGGCCCATCCCCATTCGCGCTCCTAACGAGGCTGAACGCATCCTCGGAATCTTCGTTGAAAAATATAACCCCGGCACCACAACCTGGAGTACAACCCTCGCGAGAGTCCAACGCTCCTCCAGGTACCTTGCGTCCTTGCGGGCTACTGCCACGTGCCGCAAATCTCTTGCGTCGGTTTTCCTCAACTCTACCCTATCCTTCCCTAGCCGTTTCCAGCCTGCTTCGCCTGACACCCTTACACGCCTCGACATCACCGTTGGCAATTTCTTATCCTCCTCCCGCTACAAGGAATCTGGTCTAGCAGTTCGCCTTATTCCCCGCCGAATTCTTTTCAACTCCCCCGAGATGGGGGACTCGGCGCCATTGCGCCTTCAACACAGATCCGCGCCCTCTCCATCCAACGCGCGCTACGACGCTTTGGTGTGTCCCCCTCTGAGGAAGTCGCTAGGAATGCCGTTGCCCTCCCTTTCGGTACCCATGCTTTCCTATCTCACCCTGCAATTCTTCATCCTAAGGTTCTGTCCCCGTCCATCCCCCAACGTGCGCTCGCGGTACTCCGCGTCTTTTTGTCTATGTCTCCTACTGTCCTACCCCCTCGGATGTCACCTCTCTGTCTGCTCGCCGAACCCACAGCGTTCAACCGCTTCATCCTCAAACCCAACGGCAAGCCCTTCATCCTCGCCGTGAAAAGTTCCTCCTTACACAGCAGATCCGCCTAGGCGACATTTGCAATGTAACGTTCAACGGCTTGGAACCCATCTCTCCAGAGGTTTTCGCTGTCAAGTTCCCACCATCCCGTTTTCAATCTGGTCGTCGTGTCCTACGCGAACTCGTTGAGGCTATCCCCCCTTCATGGTCGTCGGCGCTCCGTGCCCCCACCAATGTTACGGCATCTTATGGGGATTGGCTCATCCTCTCTCATGAACTTCACTCCACCCCTACGCTTGCATTGCAGGTCTCCTCTTTCACCCCGCCGCGCACTCTCTCAGTGACCTTCTTCCGGATCCTCCCACACCGTCTCGTCGATCGGACCCCCATTGGCTCTGGCATTGTTCACATTAAGGACGTTGCGGCCGTGCACACCCTGGATCGCTGGGTGGCAGGGCCGTTTCATACAGGTGCAGGGCTAGGCGTGCGTTTGGAGCTTCTCCACGACGGCTTTCCAGATCTCGCTTCTCTACTCGCAGCAGCAGTTGGACCATGAGCTTCGTTGGACGCGCGCACTCACGTCCTCTCCTCCCCCTTTTTTCCAAAACCTTACCCATGACTTTTTTCGAGAGCAACCCAGTCTGCAACGAGACCTCCTTTTTCGCCTCTACACCTGAACCCTTCTTTCAGGCGCACGATTCCAATTTGCCAATGACAGGGGTCGCTGCTCTCTTTGTGCATCTGGAGAAATCGAGACCATCTCCTACAGTTTCCTCACCTGTGGTATCGCTCCAGCTGTGGTCTCCTCGCTAGGCTCGGTTGCCCACCGTCATCTCGGCTGTTCGCCCCCGGATGAGCTTCTCCTTTCTCCTCTCCGTGAGAGAGTTGGACAATCTGCTCCCTGGAGTCTTCTCGTCGGCGTAGCTGCCAAGGGAATCTGGAATGCAAGATGTGAAAGAAAGTTCCACGACTCGTCTTCCACCAAGTTTGAAGCACTTCAACTAATCCTCGCTCAATTTCTTCTCGGGTTCAAGATCTTTTTGTGGAGAAGGTCCGCTCAGTCTGCTAAGAAACAACAACGTTCCGCTTCCCGCATCAAGATCTTTTTGTGGAGAAGGTCCGCTCAGTCTGCTAAGAAACAACAACGTTCCGTCATACGCCTCCGTTTCATTTGTTTTGACGCCTCAGGCGTCCCCTCCATCCATTCTGCACTTCGTGCCCCATGGCTACTTTGCAACCCCTTCCGTCCCCCATAGATGCTGCCCTTATCATAGAGCGCTCTCCCACAACGGCCGGGGGATATCCCCTCAGGGGTAGGGGAATAACATGTTGTGACGTACTCCTGATAGGTTGTTGGTCCTTTGACCATATTCCCTGCTTGCTCTATGCATGTTTGTAACAGGTCACGACCTTAATATAACCTTAACCTTAACCAGAAGCATGTGTTGTCGTCTCTCGACCTGCCCTAGTGCTGGTGAACCAAAAGCAGCCTTACATGCATAGAGCAAAAGCAGCATTTGATAAATAGTGCGCATGCAATTTTACTTTTAGTCAAGCATGGGTATTTACCCATGGCAGTTCTCCAAAGCCGATTCAGAAGCTGCTGCAGAAGGGCAAGCCATAGAAGCAAGGCCAAGGGGACAGAATGTGAGGGAAATCAACAGTGAAGAAATGATGGCAGAGCTGACCAGAGCCAAGCACTTACATGACAATTGGCCTACACAACGCTGCATGGCACCGCACCGCACTCCATCCCAAAGAACAATGGAACGGAATATTTCTTTATGTCTTGTCATCCCAGGCCATCACATCCCATGCCATCACATCCCATGCCATCACATCCCATGCCACCACATCCCATGCAATCACATCCCATGCCATCACATCCCATGCCATCACATCCCATGCAATCACATCCCATGCCATCACATCCCATGCCATCCCATACCTAGCCAAGGCATCTCATGCCACGCACAGTCTAGTTATAAGCACCATCCACGTACCGATGCCTGAAGCACTAATCACCCATTCTTATGCCATGACCAAATACACATGCCCCTACCAAAGCCAAAGTGCGCTTACGCAAACCATACTGCACCCGCACAGCATACACAGCCATATAAAATACTCATAACATCCACCCACCCACCTGTCCTAATCACCCTTGCAGCTTCAGCGGTTTCTCCAGCACGCACGTCAGCACAAAGTGATTTCCTTTCCGCTCCGAAGGTCGCTGCTTCCTCCCCAGGCTCCAGTACCGCTTGCCATACCCAAACGCCTCCAACGCTTGCACATACGCCTTCATGTCCTTGTCGGGCGCATAGAACATCTCCATCCACCACAGCCCGCCCGGTCTCAACACCCTGTCCCACTCGAACAGCATCGCCTCAAACTCAGCTAAGTGCGGGTACTTAATGCTGTTGAGCGTGTGAATGAGGTCCAAAGTATTGTCGAAAAACGGGAGCGGAGCCGAGTGCGGGAGGTATAGTGGGACCAGACCACGCTGGGCTATGGTCTGCATGTACGGGACGGCTTTCTCGTCTTCCCGCCCACCATCCGTGTTCATCCCAGTCGTCACTATAGTGATGTTGTGCAGAGCCATCACCGCAGCGAACCCACCCGTACCACCTCCCACATCCAGCCCGATCCTCAGCGCCCCTGGCGGCTTGAGCTTGAGGAAAGCCTTGAGGGGAATGGTGCCGGAGACGCTCTTATCCCACCAGTGCTGCTCCGACTCCACGTCGAAGCACCCCTTGCACACCGCGCCCTCCTCCTTACTCACCTCCACGCACTCCTTATACGACCCGCACCGCATCCCATCCCCCCACCGCACGTTCTCGTCTCTCAGGGCCTCCTTTGCAAAAACAGCCGCCGGGAAACCCAGAGTGTACTCTTGGAAATCTGGGGGAGTGAGAGCAGTGGCACGGCAGCGGCGGCGGGGGAGGTGCAGGCAGTTGCGGGCGAAGCGGAGGTGCTCCACGAAGCGCCAGTCGTCGGGGCAGGCGGCACGCTTGGTGTAGTTGAGATAGCGCCGCATCTCCGCTGTTGTCGCCATGCACAGCCCGAACCCAGGTGACCTTGCTGCTGCACTCCCCCCTGCTGCTGCAGCCGCTCCCCCTGCAGCTGCTCCCCCTCCGCTGTCACCTCGCACCTTGGCCAGCTCAGCGGCCAGCTGTGCTTTCTCCTTCTCCGATTGGGCGAGCGCTGACCTAGCGTCGTCCAGCTGGCGGTTGATCTCTGCGATCTTCTCCTTGATGGCAGAGAGCGGGCCCGTGGGGATGGACCCTGACAGCAGCTCCCAGTTCATGTGGGCGGGTTCAGACGAGGAGGGGGGGAAGGGAGTGGAGGGAGAGATGGGAGGGGTGTTGGTGCTGGTGCTGCTGTCGCTACTGTCAACACTGGTGGTAGTGGCACCACCACTACTGCAGTTGGGGTTGCTGCTGCTGCTGGTGTCACTGCTGCTGTTGCTCCGCGCCGAGCTGACTAGATCAGCGCGACACTGCTGCAGAGCTGTCTTGCACGTCGCCACCTCCTCTGCTGCCGCTGCTGCCGCCGCAGCCGCCGCTGCTGTTGCTGCTGACGACGCAGCTGCTTCGGCCACTGCTGCTGCAGCGGATTCTGGTCTAGACGACCCCGTGGTTGCTTCTGTCGATCCTGCTGCACCTACTGCTGTAGCTGAAACGGGTGAATCAGCGGCCAGCAGAGCAGAGGCTTGCTCTTCCGCTGACGACGCCGCGCTTTCAGGCAACCCGTCCGCTGCTGACTCAGACGAGCCCTCCTCTGACGTGTCACCATCTGCGTCAGATAAAGAGGGAATAAAAGAAGCCATTGCAGCGGGTTCCGCTCTCCCCCCACCTCCCTCCTCTCCTCTCAGCATACCTCCGCCCATCTCCCCGGCTTGCGCCTTCCCTCCCCCTGCCAATCCTCCCCCGTCCCCTCGCCCCCCGCCATGCTCAACCGCCGTTGCAATCACGCCCCCCTGACCCTCCCTATAGCGAGCAATTTCCGCCTGAAGCACGCGCACAGGCTCGTCCCTGCTCCCCTGCTGCCATCCCCCCAACGCTCCCCCTCCCCCTCCTGGTCTCCCCCCGCGCGCCTCTTCTCGAAACCAGCGCAGCGTGTCGTGCGGGGAAATTCTTGTCGGGTAGCGCCCGGAAGCGACGGCGGCGGCAACGGCGGGCGACGCGGCGGTGGGTGCGGCTGACGCGTCGTCATTTGATTGGAGGAAGAGGTCGGAGAGGAGGATGCAGAGGCAGAGGAGGAGCGACCCGACGAAGACGAGCCGCACGGGGCGGTTCGAGAAAAAAGTAGCGGGGTTGACGGAGAGCGAGGAGATTAAGGAGGAGGGGACGAAGGGATGCTGCTGCTGTTGCTTTCCTCGCACCGTCATTGCGAGTCGCGCTGCTGGTGATTCACGCTGCTGGTGAGTCACGCTGCCGGCCGGTCAGTCCCTCCGCTGCCACCACAATTCGTCTCTCGGTTGCCGCTTCCGCTCAATTCTACCGTTTTGGGAGATCACGCACGCCGGGAGTCCGCATGATTTGCCTACAACCGCTCGCAATCACTCCCATGTTTCCTCCCCTAGCCAATTGAGCACTGGCAAAAATCCACGCAATCTAACCTATTTTGTCCATAACGACAAAGCGGCTGATTATCGCCGTTGAGTGAAGGTCGACGTGAGGCAAACTGCGTGTCCGTTGAGCGCCCCTGAATAAAGAGTGGAATGGATATCACACCCGGTTGGGGTGTCCGGGTCGGGGGTTTATCCGGTTGGTGTGTGGGTGGGAGCGGATGGTCGGTGGAGTCACGGTAACGACGCGAAGATCAGCGAGAGCAAGACGTGGCACTGTAACGGGGAGCTTTCTCAGGCTGGTGGCACATTTAATCAGGAAAAAAGAGTTTCTACAAGGCAATATGTTTGAAGTTTGATTACTTCACAATCGGTTCCAACTCCAACATGTACAACACGGTGCAGGGCCTAGACATGTCGAGCCGGACTCCTTTTCCAGAATAACTCAATACATGTTTTGAGCTTTGCCCAGCCCAGCTAAACTTCACGTGTTACGGTACTCTCTTAACTCATGCCTTCACTTGCACGTTTGAGTGATTCTTCCAATCATTGGGACCTTCGCCCGTTTTTTCCAATTGCACATGGCACTTGCATTGCATGCATTTACATTCAGATGGTTTCCAGGCCTCTCTTGTGACTGATTGATCTGAAGCATGCATGGCCTCTGTCATGATGCATGGCCTCTCTCATCATGCAGGGCCTCTCTCATCATGCATGGCATGGCCTCTGTCATGACGCATGGCCTCTCTCATCATGCATGGCCTCTCTCATCATGCATGGCCCCTCACTCACCACCAGCACCTCTTCTTGCTAACCCCCATAGCCGCTAAACTCTGTGCTCTGTAAAACTCGGGACGCAAAAGAAAAAGCACCAACATTTATCTACACAAGCACATAGAGGACCTTGACGTGATGCATGAACCATGGTACACTGCTGTCGCTCATTGCTTGTCTGGCACCAGTATGTTGTTAATGCCATGCACATAGAAGGATGTGCCCTTGTACAGGTTGGGGTATACTATGGTGGCGTTGCGCTCATTGGATGGCGCCTGCAGCACCACGTGCGTTGCATTGCTCGCACTGTTCTTCACCAGGTAATTTCCTGGAAGCAGCGTTGTGTACTGGCGGAGAGGAGAGCAGAATGGGAGGGTATGGTGGGGGAGAGGGAAGAGTGGCAAGTCAACTGTGAGCTGAGTAAGCATAGGGGATAAAAAAAGAAAGTGATCAAGCAACAGTGACTCGGAAGGCAGAGAAAAAGTGAAGTGGCCCTGAAAAAAGCGTGTAAGCAGCACACTAAAACACTTGAACGAAAGCTCAAGGTGAACAAATCAGTCGTCGTGTTTGACCCTCCCCCTTAAACAACAGACGCATAACAAGACGCGTGGAGTGCACAGACCTGCGTGCCAGGAGCACCCGCTAGCAGATCCGCGTGTGACTTATATCCATCAATGATTTGATAGAGTGTAGTTTCGTCTGTATTGTACCCGTTACAGACTGTGACTGCTCCGCCCACTACAGCATCCATGGCGTTGGGCAGGGGCATGAGGATGGTGGCCCTCTTGTTGCCCTGGAGAATGTCGCGCAGCGTGGTTACCAGATCTGATGTGGAGAGGCGGGAGGGAGAGAGAGAGAGAGCGAAGGAGGGAGGGAAAAGGGGCGGGAGAGAGGGAGGGAGGGAAGATGAATACAAACAAACAAATCCAACAGAGGAGAATATAATTGTGGGTGCAGGTGCATCGATGCGTAGAGGCGTATGGGCGCGCATGGACGCGCATGGACGCACATGGACGCGCGTGGAGGCGCGGCGCGTGGGCGGGCCGCACCTGACTGCGAAGCCATGAGGAGGAACGCCGGGCTCCCCGCCGCCAGCGCCGCCAGCGCGCCCTGAATCTCCGTCAGCTGCGCTGACGTGGCACGCGACAGCAGACTCCGCCGGTCCTCCGGCGAAGAAACGGCGACGCGCGCGGCATTGGCGATGGGAGGGACGGACGAGGCGAGGAGGAGGAGGAGGAACAAGGCGGCGGCGAGGACAAATCGCGCCGCGCCAGGCGCACGCCACCGCGGCGGCGCTTTGGTGACGAGAGGGACTGGCGTCATCTGTACCAGAGACTACTATTTACTACGGACAAAAGGACTAGCTACGAGGGGCGACGCGGGTCGGCGTCGAGTCTTCTTGAGAGGCGGCGCGCGTGACGAATCTGATTTTGGAGCTGCTTTCAAGACGATTTTGACTTGACACGATATGGACGGCCTCGGTATACGAGCTTGGTGGTGATGGAGATATTGCTTGCACCTAACAGGTTCGAGACTGCGAGCTGACAACTCTTAAAGCGAAGCTTCCGGCTCACGAAAGGTAGGGGCTGGGAGGGACGAGCGAGAGTGGAAGACAGGCGCGCGGGGAAGGGAGCAACTATTGGTTGAGGTATCGCAGGATGGAATGGAAACGAAGACGGAGGATTAAATTGAAATGAAGACGCAGGACTCGCAGAGTCGGAAAATGGGAGACGGATTCGAAAATAACGCACCTGGGAGGGTTGCTACTGTACTGCTTGTGCTGGAAAAAGATGGCGATTGTCAGAACTGGAGAGGAGGGGAGTTGCATATCTTGCTCGGTGAAAGTTCCACAAACCTCTGCGGCATGGAAATGCCCAACCATTCGAAACTCACGGTAAGAGAGAGCAGCAGCATGTGCTTGGTTGGTGGCTGGCATGGCGAGGTGAAGCAGGGAAGTGGATGGGGGGGGAGGGAGGCGAGGCGAGGCGAGGTTGGGTGGGGGGACGGTGATGCTTGTGCGCCGCCCGCCAGGCTTGAGCGACAGCTGGTGCTGGGCTGGCGACGCGCAACCGACCTAGATGAATGGCGGCGATCGATTTCTTTAAATCCAGACGTAGCCTACAACAAAAACATTCAATGATAAAAAAAACTAACAATTAAAAAGTGCTCCCTCACTTCACAAAAACCTTGAGTTACACAGGACGAATTTGTATTGATGACCTCGGTTGGCTCCCTACCATCTAATCCTCGACTGCCTATCCCCAGCCTCCCCCCATGCCTCCATCTCCAGGTCTGTCCATGCGATAATTCCCGTGCGGCCCGGAATGCCTCGACGGGGGGAGCGGAGGCATGTTATACCCCGCCATACCACCACCATCCACTTCTCCCCCCATCCCAACCCCTCCCATACTTGCACCCATCATCCCCCCTCCCATACCTCCCATTCCCCCAACCATCCCTCCTCCCATGCCCCCTCCCATGGCCCCACCAGGGCCACCAGCAAAAGCACCCACACCCCCTGAAGAGGGACCTTGGAGAAAGAATTGCCCCCCTGCTAAGGCACCTCCATCTCGCGCCATCCCTCCCATACCTCCTCCCATTCCTCCTCCCATGCCTCCTCCCATACCACCTCCCATACCTCCACCCATGCCTCCTCCCATGCCTCCACCCATGCCTCCACCCATGCCTCCTCCCATGCCTCCACCCATAGCGCGGGAATTTTGGTGGCGGCTGCTGCTGCTGCTGCTGTTGCTGGTGGGAGGGTGATGGGGAGGAGAGAGGGTAGGAAGGAGTAGGAGGTGTGGCAGGCAGGTAGTTGGCAGGCAGAGGAGGCATGGTGGGGGGGCGGACAGGGGCAGGAGGAGAGGAGAATTGTGGTGGGAGAGATGAGGGCGCACAAGGAAAGTGAGGAGGGAGAGGAGGTTGGCGGGTGGATTGGGGGGGGTTGGGAGGGGTGGAAGGGGTGGGAGGTGGAGGGAGAGGAGGACGATTGAGAGAGGGAGACGGGAAGCCAGAATGAGGAGGGTTGGGGGGAGTGGATTGGAACGCACTGCTGCTGGGAGGGAGAGGCGGGTGTGATGGGGAGTGAGTGTGCGAAGCATAGAAGGTGGAGGAAGGGGAGGCAGGAGGAGCAGAGAGTGGAAGGGGGGGTTGAGGGAGGGGAGGGGGGCGCGGGGCAGGAGGGGGGTTGGGTTGGGAGGGGAGGTTTGAAGGGGCGAGTGAGGGAGGTGGAAGGGGACGGGAGGGAAGGGATGAAGGGGGGGGTGGAAGAGGAGGGTGCTGCTGCTGCTGTTTGTGTTGCTGCTGCTGTTTGTGTGGCTGCTGTTTGTGCTGCGGCTGCTGTTGCACAGGAGAGGCTGAGGGTGCAAGAGGGGCGAAGCTCCCTGAAGCAGCGGATTCTGGAGGAGAGGGAACAGGGGGTGGAGCGGCGTGCAGGGGGGGAGGAGGCTGGCGCGCGGGCGGGGGAAGGGGAGGGGGGAGGGAGGCTGGGGCGTGGGGGGAAGCAGATGGGGCATGAAGGGGAGCGGAGGGTCGGGGGGCAGCAGGTGAGGGGGGAAGGGGAGCAGCAGTGGGGGACGCCCGTCCTGCAGTGAGTGTGCCTCCACCAGCCGCACCCGGCCCCACTGCCCCCACTGCTCCCCTTTCACCACCCCCGCCTCCCCCACCCCCTCCTCCCCTTGCTATTCCTCCGCCCCCTCCTGACTTTCCTCCGCCCAGCCTCCCACCTGCAACACCAGCAGGGCCAGAAGCAGTGACTCCTGCAGCAGCAGCAGCAGCAGCAGCAGCAGCAGCGGCACCACCTGCCCTTGCTGGCCCAGAGCCCCCAACCACCCCCCCTGCAACCCCAGCTGAACCTCCTCCCCCTGATCCTCCTCCTGATGATGTTGCGGCTGATGCTGCTGCCATCGCCGCTGCTCCTGCTAGCCCTGCGGTCGCCCCTGCGACCGCTACTGATTTCCCTGCCCCATCCGCCACCACCGACCGCCCAAAGCCCCGCCCATGCCACCCCTCTTCATGCCGCTCCTCCCCTCCCTCCTCCCCTCCCATCTCACCCATACTCTCAGGCGAGGTGGCGGGAGTGAGTGAAGGGGGAGGGGGGAGGAGGAGGTGGGGGCGGGAGGGGTGGGGGGCGATGGAGGGGTGGGCGGAGCGGGCATGGGAGGAGAGGAGGGAGAGGCGTGGGAAGGAGAGAAAGCAGTTGGGGGCAGCGCAGATGTAGAGGCCTCCTTGGTAGGCGGAGATGGGTTGCACTGCTGTGATGGGCGCGAGGCACCTGGTGGGAGGGAGAGAGGGAGGGAGGGAGGGAGGGAATGAGGGACGGAGCGAGGGAGGGAGGGAGGGAGAAATAAAAGTGCTGATGGGCATTGGGGGCAAAGGAACAAGGTGTAGCAGTTGGGTGCAGCGCAGATGTAGAGGGTGCGGGGAGGGTGGGATGGTGAGAGGATGCGTGAGGGGGTGGGCGAAGGGATGGCGGGATGGGTGAACAGATGGGGAGGGGAGGGGAGGATGGTCACGTCACGGGGATGTGGAGGAGGAGAAAGGAAGAAGGTTGTGACGGATGGGTGTGAATAGAGTGATAATTTTGATACGAAAGAGTGCGTGAGGAATATGAACCACTTGCCCTCAGAATCCACGCAAAACAATATATTTAATGGTAAGATTTTTTTGACGGTGCACGTGTCACCGAAGCAGAAACCTGGGAGGGAGTTTAAGACATGGGTGGAGGGGAGCACGTGGTCTAGTATAACGCGTGTGCTCCACACAATAGAGCCGGTATCCTATAAAATCATCGCGCATATGGTTTTTATGGTGCGACACATCTTAAGTGATGGGGAGATAAAAAATTATACGGAGCAACACGACCGTGTTCTTGAGTTGGTGAAAATGATTAAAGACGCAAACTTGAAGAGGGAAAATCGTTTGGGCTCGTGTTCAAACTGCGAGGGTGCTGGAAGGGGCTGCTATTATGGGAAAATCCACGCATAACAGCTTCATAATAGCAGCTCCTTCCACACCCTCGCACTTTGAACACGAGCCCAAACGCTTGGCAGGTATCTGCCGTCAGCACCCATTGTTCCCTCTCCAAGTTTGCGTCTTATAATCATTTTCAACCAATTCAAGAGCGCGGCCCTGTTGCCCCGTACAATTTTTTATCTCCTCATCACTTAAGATGTGTCGCAACATAGAAACAATCTGCGCGATGGTTGTAGAAGATGCCGACTCTATTGTATGGAGCACACGCGTTATAGCAGACCATGTGCTTCCCTCCACCCATGTCTGAAACTCCCTCCCAGATTCTTGCTTTGGTGACACGTGTACCATCGAAAAAATCTTGCCATTATTGTCAACACAGAAAGCATAACCCCGAAGTGGCCACACAGCATGGCTGTGCACGAGCATCAATTTGCAGTCGCATGCTGCTGCCACAGCACCATCCCTACCATCCCCATCATCCCCACCATCCCCACCATCTCCAAATGGCTGCACCGGAGGAGAATCACTCCAACCGCCCCTTGCACTGGAGGAGACTCATCACCATGCGTGCTTGCCACGCACACACACACACCCACAATGACGTTGGCGCTCTGCAAAATGAGCGCCAAGCAACAGAACACTTGACAAGCATTTTGACACCGGATGTTCCACAGACTTTTTTTAAAGCCTCACTGTAGAAATTTTGCACAAACATTTTCACGTCGTAATTAGACTCGAAGTCTCGACATCCAAAGGTCGCTTGACAAAAAAGCACCCCCAAACAAAACCAACTAACATTTCAGCCCCCAACCGCTTTGAACACCGCACAACATCGACAAAACCCAGCCCACGCACAACACAAATACCTCATCTCATGCTGCAAACTCCAACTCGCCATTAAGGCTTCTGTTTTTTCTCGACCAGCAACGGTTACTGCAACCTAAAAAGCCATAACAGCAACTTCGCAGGCAATTATGTCCCGAAACCAATCCAAGGGCGGACCTTTTTTGCCTGTTTGTTGTAGCTGCCCGCAAAAACATTTTTGCAGCTAAAAAAAAAAAAAAAAAAATCGCTACACTCGCAAAGCCCTGAACGCTAACGGGCTGGCATGCAACTCGTCTCGCCCTTTTGCTTGGACTCACCCACAGGTCGTCTTGCCCTCTTGCACCCACCCACAGGTGTAGACGCACACACACAGACGCACACCCATAGATGCACACCCACAGACGCACACCCATAGACAGACACCCATAGACGCACACCCATAGATGTTTTGATTTTACAATGAACACCTGTCCGCAGCCCACCTGTCCGCTTTTGACAATGTGTCTCGCCCTCTTGCACTCACCACCTATGTTGCACCTGACGCGTCCAGCGTTTTTGACACCAGCGTCTGGACGGGGCGTCCAGACGCTGGACGCCCGGGTGCCTCTGCCCTGGACGCCCACTTGACGCTTGTCCGGGCAGGGCAAAAAATTTCCCGAGCAGGGGGGAAAAACCTTCGGTAGTAAGGCAAAACAGGAATTATGATGCACCAATTGACATTTTCACCAAAAGTTCCAGAAAATCCAAATGTGGAGCCACTACCCGATTGATCCACGGGACTAGGTGACGACATTGAAACCGAATCGCCTTAGCTTAAACTGAAATAGGGAGATTAACTAACGCGACTGGCGGATTCTAGGGTTGAGATGGCTAGGGAATGATGAGAAGTGAGTAATGTCGACCTCGATCTGCTTTTCTGGTTCAGATCTGGATCGTGCAGGTTGGGATTGGGAGGTATGGAGGGGTGAAAATGTGTTGGGGGGGATTAAATGTGGGTTGCATTTTTGGGCAAAAACGCAACCCAATGTTGGCGATTTCATCACGATTCTGGTCGTGATCAAATCGCGCGTCAATTTCGCGCTGGAATTTTTTCGGTCTGCTCGAAAGAAAAATCCCCAGCGTCCAGCGTCACACCTGTTTGACGCGTCCAGCGTCCCCGGACGCTGCACCAGGAGGGCGTCAGGTGCAACATAGCTCACCACCCACAGGTACAGGTGCACACCCACAGAGCAGCCAGGCGGGCGGGCATTAAGGGGCTGACATGAAGGGGTTCAAAGAGGTTTATGGGGCTGACATGAAGGGGTTCAGAGAGGTAACGGGGCTGACACGAAGGGGTCTAAAGGGGTGACGGGCTGACCTGTAACAGACTTTGAGCGCAGAGGCACACTTGAGGCAGAATGCGTGCGTGCAGGGCTCCTGGTGACGGGCGGGGGTGGAAATGTATGAACAGAGGCGCATTTTGAGGCAAAAGCATGCATATGGAGAATGAGAAAGTAAGGAACAGTATGAGCAGAGCAGGGGGCATTCAGCTTTGAGGCAGAATGTGTGCGTGCAGGGCTCCTGGTGGCGGGGATGGGGAAGGATGGATAGAGACACAATTTGATGCGAAAAGCATGCATAGGAGAATGGAATGCGTGGTGAGCAGGACTTTTGGTGGTGGGGGAGTGGATGAAGGGCAAGCTAAAGGTAGAGTGCGCAGATAGAGTGGGCATGGACCTCGATCAAAGAACCCGGACGAGGATTCAACCAAACCTGCATGAAGAAACAGCCAAACCCAGACTAGGTTGGGTAGGGCGGGGCTGGGTTGGGTTCGGCCTGGGTCGGGCGGGGCTGGGTTCGGTCCGGGTGAAGTGAACTGACAAGGTTTGACTCTTGCCTCCTTGCGGAAAGTCAAACCGGGTCCAGGCTGGTTCAACTCAAGCCGCAGCCCGATGGGAATGTTGCGCGGCCCGGCCAGAACACATGTGACAGATTGCGCGTGGGTGGTTTCAGGAGCACGCAACGCGATGACAGGCTGAAGCTCACTTGTTTGCTCAGCCTTCATCTTTGTGGGCAGCCTAGTCTCTGACCTCATTCCCCTCCCCACCAAAGTACCGTGTTGTGTTTGTACGATTGGTTTCCAAAGGTGAAACTAACTACCAACACCGAAGGAGATTACATTGAGATGGCCTAGGATGAAACGAAACCCCCCTCCCCCCTCCCCGTTCCCCCCCGCCCCGAGCTGACTAAAGTTTGACCCGAACCTCTAATAAACCGGGCCGGGTTCACTTGGGGAAACTGAGCCCAGGTTGTTCACGAACCGGCTGCTTCGGCCCAATCCTGCCATCGGCCCGACTAAGGTTCGACCCATGCCGGGCGGGATTCAAGCGTGTTCATGCCGGGCGGGGTTCAACCGTGCTCATGCCGGGGGGGGTTCGAGCGTGCTCATGCCGGGCGGGGTTCAAGCGTGCTCATGCCGGGCAGGGTTCAAGCGTGCTCATGCCGGGCGGGGTTCAAGCGTGCTCATGCCGGGCGGGGTTCAAGCGTGCTCATGCCGGGCGGGGTTCAACCGTGCTCATGCCGGGCGGGGTTCAAGCGTGCTCATGCCGGGCGGGGTTCAACCGTGCTCATGCCGGGCGGGGTTCAAGCGTGCTCATGCCTAGCTCAGACGGGAGTGAGAGAGGCGAATGAGGAGCGAACGAAGAGGCGAAAGAGGAGGGGTGCAGAGGTGAAAGAGGAGAGGTGCAGAGGTGAAAGAGGAGAGGTGCAGAGGTGAAAGAGGAGGGGTGCAGAGGTGAAAGAGGAGGGGTGAAGAGGTGAAAGAGGAGGGGTGCAGAGGTGAAAGAGGAGGGGTGAAGAGGTGAAAGAGGAGGGGTGCAGAGGTGAAAGAGGAGGGGTGCAGAGGTGAAAGAAGAGGGGGCGTGGCAACCCACCACGCTGACGCAAGAGGCGATGATGGGGGGGAGATGGGGGGGTGGGGAGGGGAAGGTGGTCAGGTCATGGGGGGACGTGCCATGGCAACTCACCAGACGGCCAGTGGGGGGAGGAGAGGTGCGCGAGGCAGTGGGGGGAGGAGAGGTGCGCGAGGCAGGGGGGGGAGGAGAGGTGCGCGAGGCAGGGGGGGGAGGCTGGGGGGAAGTGGGAATGGAGGATGTGTGGGACAGGACTCATGAGGCGGCCGTAGGAGGCGATGGGGAGGCGGCACTTGGCGCACAAGTGAAGGCGGGTGCCTGAGCGGCGCACCACGTGGTAGTGCGGTTGAGAGCGGTGGTGATGGGGGGAAGTGCCAGGGGAACTCACCAGACGCCCATATGAGGCGATGGGGAGGCGGCACTTGGCGCAGAAGTGCAGGCGGGTGCCTGAGCGGCGCACCACCCTAAACCCTTCCACTCGCACACCTCTCACCTCCCTCTCCCTCACCGCTCTCTCGGCCTCCATCAACTCCTCCCCCTCCAATTCTTCTTCCTCTTCCTCCTCTTCTTCTTCCTCCTCCTCCTCCTCCTCCTCTTCCTCCTCCTCCTCTTCCTCCTCCTCCTCTTCCTCCTCCTCTTCCTCCTCCTCCTCTTCCTCCTCCTCCTCTTCCTTCTCGCCTTCGTCATCCATCCATCCATCACCCCCCTCCTCCACTGCCTTTGACCGCTCCCTTCCCTCCCACACCTCTTCTCCCTCCTCACTCTCCTCATCCTCCGCCTCTTCTTCCTCCTCGTCCGTCTCCCCCCCTTCCTCCTCCTCCTTCTCTCTATCCGCTCCCTCCTCCCTTGTCTTTTCTGCGTCTCGTTCCTCCCTCCCCTCCTCCCGCTCCTCCTTCCCCTCCCCTTCGTATTCCTCCCTATCAACCTCATCTTCTCCATAATCCACCTTTTCCTCCTCTTCCTCCTCCTCATTCTCCTCTTCCCCTTCCTTCTCCTCCTCCCCGCCCCCATCCTTCCCTTCCTCCCCTGCTTCCGCTGCGCGCATCTCTGTCCCCTCGTCCCCGCTCTCCTCGCTCCCTTCGTGTTCGTCAGATTTCTCTTCTCTTCCCTCGTCGCGCCGCGTCACCGCGGCCTGCGCAATCCGATCTATCTCCCTCGTCTGCCGTCGCCCACTCCTCTTCGCTTTTGTCGCCATCGTCGTCGCCGCGTCGCCATCGTCGCGCACCGCTGCGACTGTTTCCGCCGCCAGCCGTCGCTTCACACCGCCCATCGTCGCCCGCTCGGTGTTCCCCGCGCCAACCTGCTATCGAGTCTGCGCTGCGCGCACACTGGCGGCGAATAAAGAGGCGGAACTTCACACCCGCGCGGGGTCCGTCGAGCCAGCCTGATATCGAGTTTGCGCGTTATCGCGTGCGTGCGCACACAAAGGGCAGGCGATAAGGGACTGGCGTTGAAATAGTCAAGAAATCCACGAGACATCCACTGGACATATGGGGCTTGGTTTAATCAGGGCGTGTCCCAAGAGTTCATTTGGGAAGAAACATGCCAACTAGAGTCTCCACGAATGTGCAGGGCGTGCCATGCAACTGTGAAATAAGGGCGTGTGTGATTTTTTTGGGTTGCGTAGCAACCCTATTACATTTGGTAGCACTTTTTGGTCGACTCAAATGGACAGTGCAGTTTTTGTCAAACTTTTCCCAATGTCCGAACCACTCGTTTCAACGTTTTGATAACGAGTGTTTCAAATGTGTGGAGATGACAGCACTGAACAAATAAGTCTCCAAAAAGATGAAACCAAATGTGACCTATCATTCCATAATCGTCGATAAATACAGCGAATGGAACAGCAGGTCGTCACCAAACATAATTGACGAGAAAAAAACCCACTGGTCATGAATGCAAATCATGTGCATACGAGCAAAAACAACACATAACAACTGTGAGTGAATGCTAAAATGCATCGGTGTCACAACAGAGATGGTTCCGGTATGCTAAGGGCGTGTTCCTACGGCCCCCTATCAGGCCACCTCCTATCAAGCTCGGAAAAAATCACACTGAATTTCGCGCTAACCCTAAACCCTTCGCGCATTTTACCAGGCAAGTCTGATAAGAGGTGCCTGATAGGGGGCTGTAGGAACACGCCCTAAGGCAAGCAACGCTGCCCCAACAACGATCCCCACCTCAAATGCAGACCCGACACACTTTAACATCACACCTCAGTTGCATGACACGTGCAAGAACAACACATAACAACTACGAGTGAATGCTAAAATGTATCGGTGCTGCAACAGTGGTGGTTCCGGTATGTTGAGGCGAGCAACGCTGCCCCAACAACGATCCCCACGTCAAATGCAGACCCGATACAGTTTAACATCACACATCAGTTGGAAACACGAGACAGACGGGTGCAAACAGACAAAACGCACATATCGCACACACGGGTTCACACGCACACATAAACACACGCATAATCACACGCACACGTAAACACACGCATAATCACACGCACACTCTGACACACACGCAAACAACCACAGATAGATACAGAGACCGTGTGAAACACACAACCGTCATGAATAAAATTCAGAAATGCAAAAATAGTTGCTAGCCTATCCCACCTACGCTACGCTCTATACAACCCTCCCTCCCTCCTTCCCTCATCTCCCTTTTCAGCTCACGCGCCCTGCAAAGAGTAAAATCAGAGAAGTCAACATGCACACGCCCTGCACAAAGCAAAAACAGAGAAGTCAACACACACACGCCCTGCACAAAGCAAAAACAGAGAAGTCAACACACACAAGCTCTGCACAGCAAAAACAGATAAGACAACACACACAAGCCCTGCATAAAGCAAATACATAGAAGTAAACACCCCCATGCCCTTGCACAAAGATAAAATCGAGAAGTCAACACACACATGCCCTGCACAAGAAAGCATGAACAGAGAAAGCAACAGCACACCTTGCACAAAAAACAGTGTATGCTCACTCACACTGTGTACAAGAAAGCAATAAGGCCAAAGGCCATGACGCTAGCGCTTCAGGCACGGCACACTAGGTGCCATGCCAGCGCCCAAGCGTTACAGGCCGCTGCACGAGCGTGCTAGGCACTAGCCCGCTAGTTGCCAGCGGCCTAGACGAGCGTCTGAGGCGCCAAAACCTTAAAAGCCAGTACTCTCAATGCTAGTGCAGAAAGCGACACTCATTCGTATAAGTAGCCCAAGTATCCCAAGCACCAGCAGAATAAATGCTAGTGCCTACGCCCCAGCATGCTCATGCGCTCTCTCACGCGTTCTCACGCGCTCTCTCACGCGCTCTCTCACGCGCTCTCTCACGCGCTCCCTCACGTGCACCCTCACGCGCACTCTCACGCGCGCTCCCACTCACACTCACACGTGCACTCTTACGTGCTCTCTCACACTCTCTCACGCGCTCTCTCACGCGCACACACGCGCACACTCACGGGCACACTCACCCACTCTCTCACGCGCACTCTAACGCGATCTCTCACGCGCTCTTTCACGCGCTCTCTGACGCGCTCTCTCAGGAGCACTCTCAGGCACACTCTCTCGCGCTCCCTCTTACGCTCTCTCTCCCGCACTCTCATGCACATTCTCTCTCTCACACGCTCTCTTGCGCGCACTCCCTCGTGCTCTCTCTCACGCGCTCTCTCACGCACTCTCTTGTGCGCACTCTCACGCGCACTCTCACGCGCTCTCTCACACGCTCTCTTGCGCGCACTCCCTCGTGCTCTCTCTCACGCGCACTCTCTCGCGCGCTCTCTCACGCACACTCTCACGCGGTCTCTCACGCGCACTCTCACACAAACTCTCACACACAAACTCTCACATGCACTCTCTCGCGCACTCTCACGCGCACTCTCTCTCACGCGCACTCTTACGCGCACACACACGCGCACACTCACGCTCTCTCACGCGCTCTCTCACGCGCTCTCTCGTACGCACCCTCACGCGCTCTCTCACGCGCTCACACGCGCACTCTCACGCGCACTCTCACGCGCACTCTCACGCGCACTCTCACGCGCTTGCTCTCTCGCACTCATGCGCATTCTCTCTCTCACGCGCTCTCTCTCGCAAAATCTCACACGCAAACTCTCACATGCACTCTCTCGCGCACTCTCACGCGCACTCTCTCTCCCTCTCACGCGCTACCTCACGTGCACTCTCACTCGCACACTCACGCGCACACTCACGCTCTCTCACGCACTCTCTCACGCGCTCTTTCACGCGCATTGTCACGCGCTCGCTCTCGCGCACTAACGCGCATTCTCTCTCTCACGCGCTCTCTCTCGCTCTCTCTCACGTGCACTCTCACGCGTACTCTCACCCTCTCTCACGCGCTCTCTCACGCGCTCTCTCACGCGCTCCCTCACGCGCTCTCTCACGCGCTCTCTCACGCGCTCTCTCACGCGCTCTCTCATGCGCTCTCTCACGCGCTCTCTCACGCGCTCTCTCACGCGCTCTCTCACGCACTCCCTCACGCGCTCCCTCACGCAACCGCTCCCTCAGCGCGCTAGGCGCCAGCGCGCTAGGCGCCAGCGCGTTAGGCGCCAGCGCGCTAGGCGCTAGCCCGCTAGACGCCAACGCGCTAGGTGCCAGCGCGTTAGGCGCCAGCGCGCTATGTGCCAGCGCGTTAGACACCAGCGCGCTTGGCGGCAGCGCGCAAGGCGCAAGCGCGTTAGACGCCAGCGCGCTAGGCGCCAGCGCGCTAGGCGCCAGCGCGTTAGGCGACCAAAGAGGAGAACAATGGCAGCGTAATGCTAAGAAAATTCAGAATAGAGAACTTACGAAGAAAGTAGAAAACCTAATAAAATTCGGCGGGAGGAGGGAGGTAAAAAGGTCCGAGAAACGTAAACGCACCTGAGACAACGGTTCCGCAGAAAACAACGCGAGATCGTTTAGCAACCCGCGCTCACGGTCGTGCACCCATCAGAGGCGACGACGGGAAGGAAGGGAGAGGTGATGGCGAGGAGGAAGGGAGCGGCTGTGACGGGGCGGAAGGAAGAGGCCATGGCGAGATGGGAGGGAGAGGCGACGGCGGTTGGGAGGACGGAGAGGCGCTAGCGGGATGGGAGGGAGAGGATACACTGGGATGGGAGGAGAGGCGACGGCGGGGTAGCTAGTAGATTTAGGTGGTCACAAGAACCAAGAACCAAGAACCAACAAAGAACCAAGAACCAAAACTGAGGGCGTGTCCCATGAGTTCATTTGGGAGGAAAACATTTTTACGTAACTTCGACAAAGCAAAAGAGTGTACACTCTGACGTGAAAAACACGCAGCGCGTCAGCACAGCGCCAAACGAAATTGACCCACGCGGACTCATAGCCCCGCCCACACGAAAATCGTAATCAGAACATGGCCCGCGAGCAGTTACCCGCCACAGTGCGAATTAATGGTGCCCTGTGCGAATTTCTGTTTTCTTATCGCGCAACTGAATATGCGCGAATTTTCAGGTTAGGGTAACGGAGTGGAGGACCCGGTACGAGGTGATCTCACGTACCTTGTACGTGAGGAAGTACTAACCTCTTGACGTCCTAGGCGTCTCATCAAGTGCGTCATGAAGACACATGTCATGCAGAGAAGGGTTACAGACTGAAAAAAGGGTTACAATCCTCAACTTGAACTGGAAACGAACTCGTGGGACACGCCCTAAGAATCAAAAACGAAGAACCAAGAACCAAGAGACGAGGGCCGAATTCGAGTTGACGTGTGAATGGAAACAATACACTATTTACTCGTTATAAGAGCGTGTAATCTTTGGGGCAGATGAGATTCACATTGTATTGCTAGGACAAACTTCACAACTAGGCATGGACAATCTTTCATTTAGGTGTATTTGTAGGAATATGAGCAAGATACTAATTTGAAGGCTTTGACACGTGAAACACACGCATAAAAATGTTATCAAACTACAGCAGAAAAAAACGAACCACAATAGTAATTGGACGGTGCAATGTAGTGATATGAAGCTAAAAAACATTGTTCATTATAATAACAAAAATATCATCAGTGTCCGAATCATTACATTTTGACACTAGTCAAGCGTTCAAACATGTACATAATTACTATTTTTCTTTAACATGTACATAATTACTATTTTTCTTTAACAAGTATAAAATATAATGTTCCATCATATGTTTCTTATACCACTAGAAACAACTTCACGCAACCCTTCCGACGTAAACGTCGAGTCTTGTTTGGAGTTAGTATTAAGGGTCGAACTTAAGGTGGTTACCAGTTTTGCCAATGTTCGCAACAAGTTTCGCCAATGTTGACTCCAGTGCCAAATACAGGAAGTGCGAACCTACAAAAGTGGACAAGATTCGAATAAATGCACAAAATTTGTGTAGCACACTGAACCGAACGTCTGTCGTGTCAGGCACGTACGAGGATTCAGCGAAGCTCGCGAATCACTCGTGCACCAATAGAGTCACATCCGAGACGCGTAGCAGAGTCCCCTGCGCAAAGCCCACTACGTGGCATGCGTCGTGGCATGATGACGTTTCGGGGGTGCGAGTCATCCAGCGCATCCGGGAAAGCGCACAAGCTGTGTGAGAGACACTGTGAATTGCTAAGATGGAGACGTGGCAGAGCACTCCGATATTTGTAGCGGAAACGACCGTCCCTTGAGCAATGTCGAGCTGGAGGTCTAGCAGTCACTTTTTTGAGCTGCGATTCGTTGACCTGCTGCGCTATCGAAGAGAACAACACCGGGTAACCTACGCACCCTATAGGCGGCTCGGTTCCCCCCCCTGTAATATTGAACTTGCAAATTCGCACTTTCGTGTGTGATGGTAAATCTACTGGCGTTGTCGCCCGCGGTTCGAACATTACCATCGCTCAAAGTCGAGTCATGTTCAGCTTGTGTTCAAATGCTTCAAACGAGTCAAAAACATAAACTTTTCTTAAACCCTAAAATCACACACGCCCTAACATCAACATCCCAAACTCTAGGGTTTGCGGAACTTCAGCGTCAACTGCGTGGAGAAGGTGCGCGTTACCGTTTCAACTGCGCGTGCATTACAGTTTCAACGGTATGTGCGTTAGTGTCAACTTCATGGAGAAGGTGTGCATCACAGTTTCAACTGCGCGTTCGTTAACGTCAACTGCATGGAAAAGGTGTGCATTACAGTTTCAACTGCGTGCGCGTTACAGTTTTAACTGCGTGCGTGTTACAGTTTCAACTGGATTAATGTAAACTGTGTGGAGAAGGTGCGTTCACATTACTGATTGGAGTGTCCGTAACACCACTGATGGGTGGCTGGAACAAGCTTAACTGCTTATAGGCTTGTCCTACTGTTTCTGACTGAGATTTTTTTCCAACACAATTTCCTAAGAAGCAAAGAGAGAACAAACAGAAAAAGAAACAAGGAAAGAAATAACAACTACTCTAATTCTGTCAGAATTATATTGTTCCAGCTGCATGTAGTTCGAGTTGTAGTGTAGCTATCTTAATTTCCTGCTGGTGGTTTACCCCCTTTCCTCCCCTATTTGTACTTCAATCTCTATTGCGAAACCCCCGCTTTGGCTGTTTCTCTCGCCTTAGTTCCTCTCGTCACACACGCCATGCATGCAACCTACTTTCTCATAAGCTCCTATTTCTAAGAAATTCCTACGAATGCATTTTTATGTGTACAGTAATACTGTGACACGACTCTCCGAGGAGTGTGCAGTGCAGTCGTCATAGCATTACAAATCTCAATTATACAGCACACTCAGATATGCAATAATACTTGGTTCAATCATAAGCTACGTACTAAGAACTACCTACGATAAAAGGGTCGGGAGGGAGGGAAGCAAATCAAGATCTGGAAAATGCAAATTAGACTAGGTGGCAAAACTGAGAGACCTGCAGGAATGCCAAGGAGTTTGTCTCCTTTACAGCAAACTCCTCTAATAGTCGAATCACAATCTTCATTTTTTTTAACTTAAAAAAAAATATACATTACATTTTAGACATGCGACTTAGAATGCCGATTCGGGTGGCCAGCCCCGATATCGAGCCACATCTTCATCTCTATGTGAAAACTAGAACGAGAATGAATGCATTGAGCAGCATGAGGAGTACAAGTACCAAACCCTAAAGTGTTGTACCCCATATTAGCTACCCCACTACAGCCTACACAGACTATAGTGTATGAGTTTAACACTCTATTAAAATTTTGTGCACCTCACAACACATTTACACGTGTTACAATCCTAACCATCTGATTGTGCACTTCCGGTGTGAGAATCCCATAGTTGGGATGATAGGTGAACTGAAGAGTTGATGTCATTAGGAAAAACATGGGTACATATAGGCGAGAAACGTAAGGGTAACTTGGTGAAGTACCTAAAGCATTATTGGTGGGCCAATAAGAATGGTCACCAAATAATGCTTTGGATGGACCATCAATTATTGGGGGGGACCAAAGATGGTTGGGATGAACCAATCAAGTTGGTTTCCTTTCCTTCAATTAAAGTCGAGTGGGTTTGGGGTCCACCCAAACAAACCTGGCCCAAAGTGTACACCCACATTGGGTGTAACACTCGTACCATTATAAACTAACATATGCTACATTCTAACACAACCCCTTGGCATAAGAAGTTTATAATGGTGCACAACCCTTGAAGCATGAAGTCAATGCTAGGTAGAGAAGCTGAAGGAAAGGGGCTGCAGAGGTGAATCTGTATGCCAGCCGGGAAGGGGGGCTGCAGCTGCAGGGAAGGTTGCAAGCCAGCCGAAGGTGCTGTGGTGGTGAGGTCGCGGCGAAGGAGGCGCAGGCGGCGGCGGTGGCGAGGAGACCGCGACGAGGTGGGGTGGGAAGCAGCGGCGACTGCGAGATGGCAGTGGCAGCGAGAGGGCCGCAGCGGCGAGGGGAGACGGCGGCGGCAGCGGGAGGGCCGCGGCGGCGAGGGGAGAGGGCGGCAGCAGCAGGAGGGCCACGGCAGCAGGAGGGCCACGACAGCAGGAGGGCCACGGCAGCGAGGGGAGAGGGCGGCGGCGGCGTGAGGGCCGCGACTGCGAGGGGAGAGGGCGGCGGCGGCGGCGCAGGGGGGGGGGGGGTGGGGGGGGGGGGGGAGCGGGAGGGCCGCAGCGGCGAGGGGAGAGAGCGGCGGCAGCGGGAGGGCCAGGGAGAGGGCGGCGACGGCGGCGGGGGGGCGGCGGCGGGGTGGCGGCGGGGCGGCGGCGGGGGCGGCGGCGGCGGGGCGGCGACCGGGGAGCGGCGGGGCAGCGACGGGGGGGCGGCGGCGGGGCGGCGGCGGGTGGGCGGCGGGGCGGCGGCGGGGGAGCGGCGGGGCGGCGGCGGGGGGGCGGCGGGGCGGCGGCGGGGGGCGGCGGGACGGCGGGGAGGGGGGGGGCGAGGCGGCGGCGGGTGGCGGTAAGGCGGCGGCGGTGGGGGCGGGCGGCGGTGAGGCGACGGGGCGGCGGCAGGGCGGCGACGGATCTCCATTTGAAACGTCGCTGGTGCGTTGCAGAGTCCGAACGGCATCACTAAATATTCGTAGGAGCCGTATCTGATACGAAACGCCGTCTTGTGGATCGAGTTGTCCACCATCTTGATCTGACAGTAACCTGGCCGTAGGTGCAGCTTCGAGTTTACTGTTGCACCACGCAGTTCATTTACAAGATCGTGTATGCGCGGTATGGGGTATTTGCTTCTTACCGTCTGTTTGTTAACTGCCCTGTAGTTGATGCACATCCGTAAACTACCGTCAGGCTTTGGAATGAAGAGGACTGGTGCACCATAGGGAGAGGTGGATGGGCGGATCAGTTGCCGTCACCCCGGTTCTTTGGCTTGCGGATTCATCTCGACCGTTCGAAGTCGTAATGGATGCCAACAATTTTACCGTTGGCGCCGTCCTGCTACAGGTTTTCGGCAATGACCCATCTCGTACGATTCATGCAAAATGCAGCCACCCGACTGCAAGTACCCCGTGTACGACAAAAAAATGCTAGCCATCGTCCACGCATTTTGTACCTGGCACTGGTACCTCACAGGAGCCGATGTTATGATAATGACAGATTAGCACACCACCTGCGAGCCCAATCACAACTCAATCCATGACATATCAGGTGGTTGAATTTTATGGAGTCCAATTTTCGCTACACCATCACGTAGAAGAAGAGAGCCAACATCGCCGACGCCCTGACCCAACCATCGAGACAGACCGCAACCGTACTTATCGCCCACTCTAACCCGCTTTTATCAGGACTACTCACCCACAGGTACAGAGCGGATCGCTTTTTTAAGCAAAACCAACACCACCGGGCCACGATGCAACATGAGATTAATTATTTAAAAGTCACGTCTTGTCATACTGGCCCTTTTGAGAGTTGCTGATGTAGGAGGTTCATAACTCTAACCTCTCCGGCCACTTCGGCATCGATAAAACACTCAAGCTGCTGCAACGGAATTACTGTGAAGGTTAGAACGAGAATGGTTGCATTGAGCAGCATGAGGAGTACAAGTACCAAACCCTAGAATGTTGTACCCCATATAAGCTACCCCACTACAGCCTACACAGACTATAGTGTATAAGTTTGACACACCCCCATAGGCAAAGTGGGGGAGAACAAGGGGTCACAAGACCAGTCAAGCAAAGCAAGGCAAGCTCAGGGTGGATCACAACGTCACCACACAGTCTGAGCACAAGTTCAAGGCCAGAAGGCCAGTTCACATGCAAGGGTACATATACATAACTCTAAACAAGCAAGGGCAGGTATATATATGTAACAGTACAAGCAAGGTCAAGAAGTAAGCAAGTGAGGCAAGGTAGGCACAAGACCTAACAGAGTACAGAAGCGCTGATGATCACAAGGCGCGAGTGCCTTGGTGAAGATATCAGCAGTGTTGGCCTCAAAGGCCACGTAAGCAAGGCGCAGCTGACCACACTGCTGCAGCTCACGAGCAAGGAAGTAGCGGAGAGCGATGTGCTTCGTTCTGTGCTCCAGTCTGTGCTCCCGACACAAGGCCAGCATGGCCTTGTTGTCTACGTACAGCACTGGAGGAGAACGAGGCGGCTCTCCCAGGTCAGTCAGCAGGTAGGTGAGCCAGCGTAGCTCCTGTGCAGCCATGGCCCCTGCGTAGATCTCAGCCTCACAGCTGGAGCCGAGAACAGAAGACGAGCGGGTAGACCGCCACGAAACAGAGCCGGAACCAAGGCTGAAGGTGTAACCCTGTGACGACCGCTGCGTAGCCTGGTCGTCGGCCCAAGAAGCGTCTGCGTGACCAGTGAGGACCACTGGACTCTGCCCTCCAAGCACAAGCCCCATGCCCGACGTACTGCACAAGTAGCGCAACACCCTCTTCGCTGCAGCCATGTGCTCTGGTCTGTGTCTCCCAGGAGCAACAAAGCGTGCCAGAATGCTAAGAGGGTATGCAAGGTCAGGTCGAGTGCAGGTCATCAGGTACATGAGGCAGCCAACAAGCTCTGGGTACGGGCCACTCGACTCTACGGACTCATCCGAAGGCAGAGCTGAGAGCGAGTGGCGTGTAGGCAGAGGAGTGGCCTGAGGCGAGGAGTACGTGAAGCCGAAGCGCTGAAGGACCTGCTGCACCATGTATGACTGAGTCAGGGTAATGGTGCGCCGTGCTCTGTCCCGGGTGATCTGCAAGCCAAGGTAGCTGCGCAGTTCACCCAGGTCTGTGCACGTGTGTCTCTTCTGCAGCTCGGACTTCACGTAGGCAAGTCCAGCAGTGTCAGCTGTAGCAAAGACCAAGTCGTCGATGTACACGAGGATGTAGAACGGCGGCAAAGAAGTGTCGGTGCGCAGAAACAACGACGGGTTGGCAGTAGAAGGAGCAAACCCAAGAGCCGCAAGTGTCGTCCTCAGTGTGTCGTGCCACTCACGAGGCGCCTGGCGGAGACCGTAGACTGGCCGCCGGAGGCTCCACTGGGTGCCAGGAGGAAAAGTCCCAGTGAAGCCAGGTGGGCGGCGCAGCCAGATCTCCTCGTGCAGGCTGCCCTGCAAGAAAGCAGTGCTGAAGTCAAGAGAGTGCAGCTCGTAGTCTCGGTGAGCGGCTATGTGCAGCAGTACCCGAAGAGTGGTCATCTTCGGGGTGGGAGAGAAGGTCTGAAAGTAGTCAACTCCCTGCCGCTGACTGAAGCCACGAGCCACGTAACGCACCTTGAAGACAGGCGGAGAACCCGGCGGCCGCTTCACCCTGAAAATCCACATGCCACTGACGATGTTCGCCCCAGGCGGGGGAACCTCGTCAACGTAGGTGCCTGTGGACTTCCAGGAAGCCATCTCTGCGTCCATGGCTGCCTGCCACTGAGAGGAGTAGGGACCCTCTATCGCCTCCGCGTAAGAGCGCGGAGTCGGGATGTCAAGTGCATCCGGGTCTCCCTCAGGGGCAAGCAGCATGGACACGAGATGAGGTGAAGCAGCAGCCAAGCACTGGAACTCCTCCTGCCTGTCCTCAAGGACGTCCGTGCCAAGAGCACACTCACCCCCGACGGACGGAGGACAGACAGACTCAGACTCAGCGACGAGACTGGCAGCGTAGTCTAGGCGACAGCGAGCAGCGAAGTCGACAAGCTCAGCAACGAGGGCAGACGCAGCAGTAGACTCAAAGGAAGGGTCAGTGACGACAGTAGCAAGGAGACGTGTGACAGTAGGACGCGCAGCACGAAGGGAGTCCGACTCAGGGTCAGGAAGCTCAGGAAGAGAGGACGCTGGAGGAGAGGGCAAAGGGGCACGCAGCGGAGCAGTGGAAGGACGCAGAGACATCCGGTGCGTGCCGGGGACAGGGGGAGGACGCTGACGCGAACCACGACCACTAGTGCGAGCAGCACGGACAGGCGACGCAGGGCGAGACGCAGTCTTACGACGCTCAGCAAGACCTCCAGTAGGACCAGTGTAGGGAGAAGGAGAAGGAAGCGGGGAGGCTGGCTGTAACTGTGACTCAGACTGGACAGGAGGCGGACACGCTAAGGGAGGAGCAGGACCAAGAGAGGAGGGAAGACCAAGAACCTGCTCAAGGAGCGGAACGAAGTACGGCCGTGGCCGCGCAGCGCCACCAGTGCCAGCAGGAACAGCACCAGCACTCCCAACAGGAGCATCAGCACCAGGAGGACCCCCAGCTCCAGCAGCTCCAACTCCAGCACCCTCAGCAGCACCAGCGCCAGGAGCACCTCCAGCGCCAACACCCCCAGTAGCTCCAGCTCCAGCCGGACCACCCGAAGACGCAGCAGCTCCAGCTCCAGGAGCACCAGCAGCACCAACGCCAGCAGCACCAGCAGCACCACCAGCTCCAGCAGGAGGAGCACTCGTAGGCCCAGCAGCTCCAGTACACTCGGTACGAGCACCTCTCGGACCCTCGGCACCAGCACTCTCAGCAGCAGTAGAACCTCCAGCGCCTGCAGCACCACCAGCTCCAGCAGCACGCCGCCAGCGCCGGGCGAACCACTCACGCAGCTCCTGTGGAGAGAGCAGCTCCCGCCGGGACGAAGCACCCGAAGAACTGCCAGGCTCAGCACCACCAGACGCCAGACGAGCAGGTCCAGCACCCTCAGGCTCAGCACTCCTAGGCTCAGCACCCCCAGGCGCAGCACCCCCAGGCGCAGCACCCCCAGGCGCAGCACCCCCAGGCGCAGCACCCCCAGGCTCAGCACCCCCAGGCTCAGCAACCCCAGGCTCAGCACCCCCAGGCTCAGCACCCCCAGTCGCAGCACCCCCAGACCCAGCACCCCCAGACTCAGCGCCACCAGCAGCACCAGAGTCAACAGCTACCTCGACTGGCTCAACTGCATCTACCTGGGACACACCTGAGGGAGCAGGACCCTGAGGGGGGAGGGGGTCTACCGGAGGGGGACCTGGCGTAAGGAAGAGCGGCGGGGGAGGGAGGGACGCAGTGCGGTAGGGGAAGAGACGGTAGTAGGGAACCGACTCGTCAAAGGTGACGTCCTGGGACGCGAAGACACGGCGCGAGGTGGGGTGGTAGAACTGCCAGCCTGGCGCGTCAGGGGGAAAGCCAAGGAAGACGCAGGGAACAGCACGAGAGGACAGCTTGTCCGCAGACAAGTCGCGGACAAACGCCCTAGATCCCCAGACCCGGAAACGCGACGCATCACCAACCTTCCCCGTCCACAGCAAAGCAGGGGAGGTCTCCGGCATGGAGACCCGGGGGTGAAGGTTGAGCTGATGCGCCGCGTACCGAACCGCAAACGGCCACAGAAAATGGGGAGCAGCCGCATGGATCATGGACGTACGAGCGACGTCCATGACCATGCCGATGCGGCGCTCAGCAATCCCATTCTGCTGCGGAGAGTCCGGAAGCGTGAAGGTCTGGCGGATGCCTCGTGCGCGACAGAAGGCCCGCAGAAGGTCAGAGGAGAACTCTCCGCCTCTGTCGGAGTGCAGACGCCGAACAGGAAAGTCGGAGCCGAAACTCTCCTGGAGCTGGAGACGAGCTGCGCGGATCCAGGCGATCAACACCTCAGTGAC